GGAGAGGAAGCACAAACGCCACGCACAGGAAGAACAAAGCGCACGCACCGGAAAACACAAAAGCCCACACGGTTAAGGGGCCAACGACGCACAGGAGCACAACCCCTATGCCACAGGAAAGCCACAAAACGCCGGCCACCTGAGGCACAGACGCACGCAGCGTAGTAGACTAAACCGCACGCCACAGGAAGCACAGAACCGTCGCACACGAAGGGGACCGAGAGCAAAATAGTGACTAAAAGGGCCACGGGCAGGGGGGGAAAAAGTGTGGGGAAGCCGAGACGGGGAGGAATAGCGGAGAGGAAGGGCCAGTAGGAAACCGCATCAACCGCACGAGCGACGCGAACCGCACCAGAACCGAAGTGCGGGGAGAGGAGGGGGAGGAGCGGGCCAATAAAAAGAGGGGTGGAGGAGCAGAAGATCACAGATCGCGGTGGGAGAAGTACGATGGTAGACAAGTGAGGGACAGTCGAGGATGACAATGGAGGTACAGTCGAAACAGGAAGAGGGGGGGAAGAAGTGGGACAGAAGACACAGAAGCGGAAAGGGCCAAAAAAAAAAAAAAAAAAATAAAAGGGACAAACGACGGGGGGGAGCAAGCGCGGCCACAGGGCGGGTGCGGCCCGTGGGGCACCAGGATAAGGGACGAGACCATGAGACACGCGGCAGACAAGGGGCAAATGGAGAGCGGGCACCGGGCAGCAAAAACGAACAGCCGGGTGTGGTAAGGAAAAGAAACGGCATCCGGGGGGCGGCCGGGCCGCACCCTGCGCCAAAAAGGAACGCGGTGTATGCAAGGGAGGGGGGAGAGACGGCGGGGGCAGGGCAACACTAACGACTAAGTGAGGTCAAGAGAAACTACAGGGCAGGCGAGATGGGGAGAGTACGCAAAGAGGCGGAAAAGGGGAGGGAGGGGAGGGAGAGGCACGAGAGGGGAGGAAAAGACAAACGAGAGGAGCAGGGGAGAGAAGGACAGCGGAGGGCGACAAAGAGACACTCAAAGAGGGAATAGGTGAGGCATGGGGCGGGGAGATGACAGAGCAGGGGCAGGGCACCACAACGACAGGGAGCTAGGGAGAGAGACAAGGGCAGGGGATAAGAAAAACAAGAAGACGGTGAAGCAGCGGGCGAGGGAGAGAGACGGGAGGGGCAGGGGGCGGAAGGAAGACGACAAAATAACGGCACGGCGCCGGGAAACGATCGGCGCGCCCGGGGCGGGATGAGAAACGGCGCCAGGGGGAGGTCGGGCAATACACCACGAGACCGAGAGAACGGACGCAGACAAGGCCAGGGAGGCGAGAGCCTGAGCCGCCCCACCACGAAACCACGACCGAAGGCCAAACCAAACGAACATAAGTGGAGACCAAAAGGAGCCCAAAAGGCGGAAGCGAAAAGGACCCAAAAGACCACAAACGAAGGAAGGAAGCAGTACACAGATCAGGAAGCCAAGCAATGAGGGGGGGACAGCGAAGGGGACCACCGCAGCCAAAAGCACAGAAAAGACAGGAGGCTAACGCATGAATAAGAGAGGAGGGGACGGGAGAAAGGTGAGGAGTCGAACACACAAAATACAGTATGGCATGGAGGCAAACTGCGAAAGAAGTATGGGAAAGAGAAAGCACAGGGGTGAGGCCGCCAAGGAGGGCGGAGTGGGAAGGAGAGGTCCCGGGGCAAGGCGAACAGAGTCGAGCCGGGAACGGGAAGGAGGGTAAGGGAGGGCCGGCGAGCAGAGAAGCCCGGGAAACACCGGTGAGACCAGGCGAAGGGGTGTGAAAGGGGACAGACCATCGGAAGAGAGGGACCCAAGGCGGCCCTCGGCGCCGCCCGGAGGCGAGGGACGCCAAAACCGAAGGGCAACCCGCGGGCCAGAACGGGAAGCAAGAAGAAGTGCAGGCCCCGACCATACAACCATGGGCCAGGGAGAGGACTACGGCGAAGACGTAGCAGGGCGGCAAAAGCAAGCACGAGCGCGTGGGTAAATCGGGGAGAGGGGAGGCGGCGGGGGAAGGGCGGGCCACGACAAAAAAGGGGAAGACGAAGGAAAGGAAGGAAGAGGGATGGAGCAAAAGGAAGACCGAGTAAGGCACAAGACCAACGGATGAAGGGGGTAACCGGGGAGGGGAAAGGAAAAGGAGAGGGAGTAACGGAACGGTAAGGCAAAGGGGGAAGGCCATGGAGGGCGAAGGACAGCCAACGCGCCGCGCGCGCGCCCCTGCGCGCGCGCGCTGCCGCGCGCGAAGAGAGAAGAGAGAGAGAGACGATGATAGAGAGAGGAAGAGAGGCCGGCAGATGGGGCGGGGCAAAAAAAAAAAAACGTAAAAGGAGGGGAGCGAAAGGGACACAACCAAAAGCAAAAGGCGGGGACCAGGACACCAGGAGCGCAGGCAAGGAACGAGGGTGGAAAACAAGGCAGGAGCAACTAAGCGCCAGCGAAGACTGAGGGGAGGACCAAAATGGAAGGGGAGGCGGCAAGAAAGCCCAGCAGGGAGGAGACTGGAGCGCGGGACGGGAGCGGGGACGACGAGGGGGACTAGGAGGCGGAGAGGACAAGGGAGAAGGAGGGAGCGAAAAAGACATGCGCGCAGCAATAACGAGGGGACAAAAAGATGCAGAGCAGCAGCCGCAAAGAAGGGAACGAAAGGGGGGGAAAGGAAAAGGCAGAAAGGGGGGAGCGGAAAGTGCGCATAGACAGAAAGAGAGAGGAGCCCAGGGCGAAAACGAGGAGAGGAGGGGGGAGAGGAGAAGGGGGGGGCCGGGGGGCAAAGAAGGGAAAAAAGGACGGGGGGAATGGTGGGAAGAAAGGAGGGCGCAAACAGGAGGGACTACCGGGCGGCCCAGCGGGGGACGAAGAAAAGAGGCCCAGGCAGGGCCCACGGGGGGGGCGAAGAGGGGGAGGGCGGAGGCAAGGGGGGCCAGGGGGGGCAAGGAAGGCAGGGAGGGCCGACAGCAAGTTAGGGGAGGGGCACAACCGGAAGGGAAGGGGGGGAGCGAGAGCGAACAAGGCCGGGCCAAGAGGGGGGGTGAGAAAGGCCGAGAGAGGGGGCACGCAGCGCACGTAGGGGCAGCGCCAAAAAAGACGAGAAAGCAGGAGGGGGGAGGCCCGGCAAACAGCGAGGAGACGGGAAGGAACGGAGACGGGACGGCCTCCGAGGCCAGGGGCGACGGGCGCGTGGGGAGACAACGGGCCGAAGGAAGCGAAAAGGGGATGAATACCCGCCGAGGGGGCACGGGACGAGGATGCGCACGCGGGGCAGGGGCGGAGGGGAGAGGGGGCAGGACAAATCGAAAGGGACGGGCACCCTAGCAGCTGGATGGACGAGGGTATGAAGAGGGACAGGCGGGACCAAGGGAGCGCCGACAAATGAACAATCCAAGTGCCACAAGGACGGCGAGGCAAAAGAAAAACCAGCAGCAGAAAAGGGAAAGAGGACGAGGGTGAGACAGGCGGGCGCGGCGCCAGTAGAGGGTAAAATGACACAGTAAACAGGGAGAAGGAGGCCATGGGGGGGCCGAGGGGGAGAGGGGCAAGCCACGGGAACGCAGGGGAGGAGAACATGCTGACGGGGGGCCGAGGAGGAGGGGACAGGAGCAGGGGCGGCGGAGCAACAAAACATGGGGAAGAGCGGGAAGACAAGGGCAGCCGGGCGGCAAGAAGGAGGGGGGGTGGCAAAAAAGATAGAAAAAAAAGAGAGCGCGGCCACCGACCGAGGAGAAAAAAATGTAGGGAAATGGCGGGGGGGGAACGACAGGCAACGAGGGGGGGGGAAGGAGGCAGGAAAAAAGGCGGCAGGCCACAAGAAGACGGGGACGAAATGGCGGTAGGGGCGAAGAAAAAAGAACGAAAGGGGGACGAGCACCCAGAAGGCGAAGGACGGAAGGTGGGCCCAGGGAGGGAATGAGGGTGGGCAGCACAGGGAAGGTGAGGAGGATGGGAAGGGGAGCCCGCAAACGAAGGCAGGCGCGGGGCGAGCAGGAGGCGGGGGGGCGGTAGCAACAAGGAGGAGGCGCGGGGCGAGCAGGAGGCGGGGGGCGGGAGCAAGAGGAGCAGGCGCGGGGCGATGCAGGAGGCGGCGGGGCGAGCGGGAGCGGGAGGAGGAGGAGGAGGCGCGGGAGGAGCAAAAAGAAGAAGGCACCGACCCCCGGCGGGAACGAAGGGCAGGCGCGGCGGGCGGTGACGGGAGGGAAAGGAGAGGGAGGGCAAGGCACGGAGGAAGGGGGAGGACCAGCGAGGGATCGGGGGCGAGGGGGGGGGGACAAGAGAGAAAACGCATGCAAGGCGAAAAGAGCACCAAGGGCGAAAGGAGGCGGAGGGGGGCAAAAGGGGCGGAAGGGGAAGGCGGGAGAGAAGAGCAGGAACCGAGGGTGGGCGCACCCGGCGCGCGCGCGAAGCGGCGAGCAAAGGAGGAGGAGGAAGGCGGAAGCGCGGGGGGGAGGGGCCACGGAGGGCCCGGGGAAGAAAGGGAGCATACAGGGGGGGAAGGGGAGGCGGGGGGAGGCGGAGCAGCGGCGAGACAGAAGCGAGGGCGGGGGGCAAGGAGCGCCACGGCGGGGGGGCCGGGCGGGGCCGGGGCGAGGGCGCCAGCGAGGGGGGCGGGGCGAGAGGGGAAGGCGAGGGAAAAAAGCAGGTGAAGAGGTAGGAGGGGGGGCGAGAAACCAAGCAGGGTGCCAAGGGATGAGAAAGAGGGGGGCGAGGAGGAGAGGGATAGGGCGGGGAGACGGGAAAAAAAACGGAGAAACGCCGGGGAGAGAGGAAAAGAGAGGCGGGCGGGGCCAGCACGGGGGGGGAGCAAAAAAGAGGGTGGACAGGGCAGGGCGGAGAGCGGCGCAAGGCGAGGGGGGGAAGGGAGCGAAAGGGGCGAGACCAGCGGCGAGAAGCAAAAAGCAAGGGCGAAGGAGGGCGGGGGCGGGCGGGGGCGGGGAGGACACGGAGGGCACGGTGGGAGGACGGCGAGGGGGCGGTGCGAAGGAACGGGGGGCGAATTGCGAGGGAAGGCGGGGCGGAAGGGCCCGGGGCCCGGGGGGGGGCGATGCGGGGGGGGGCAGAGGAGGCGCAAGGGGGCGGGGCGGGGCGAGGGCGGCGAGGGCGGGGGCGAAGGGGCCAGGGCGGGGGCGAGGGCGGCGGCGAGGGGGGCAGGGGCCGCGGCGGCAGCGGGACCGGGCAAGAGCAACGCGCGCGGGCGAGGGGGGAAAGGGGGCGCAGGGAGGAAGAAGAAGGGGGGAGGGGAGGCGGCCAAAAGAGGGGAGACGCAGCAGAAAAAAGAGAAGCACAAAGAAAAAAGGAAAAGAGGCAGAGCGAAGGAGCGAGCGAAGAGAACGAGGGGACCGAGGGGGGCCGGCCAAGGCAAGACGGAGGGGGGGCCGGCCAAGGCAAAAAAGGCGCAGACGAAAAGGGGGCCAAGGAACCAGGCAAAAAAAGAACGGGGACGAAGAACAGCGGGGGGGGGAGCGAAACGGGGAAAGGCGGACGAAGCGCCGGGCCGCGGAACGGGGGAAAAGGCAAGGGGGAAGCAACGGCGGGAAAAGGAGAGGAGGGAGAAAGAGACAGCGGAGAGGAGACAGGGAAGGGGGGGGAGCAAAAACGCGGGGCGGACGGGGCCAGAAGAGCGGGAAAAAAAGAGAGAAAAACCCGAGGGCAGGGAGGGGACGAGGGCGAGGCAAAGCAAGAGGGAAAGGGGGAGAAGAGAGGGAGAGGAAGAGGAAGAGCGGCCCCAGAAGCAAGCCAGGGGGGCGACGAGGCGCGGCGGGGGGGCGGCGGCCGCCGCAAAAACCAGAGGGCGGAGAAGGAAGAAAGGAGAGGGCGGGAGAGAGAAAGCGCGCAAAAACCCAGAAGAAAGGCCAGCCGCAAGAACGGAAGGGAGGAGGGGGAAGAAACCGAACGAAAAGGAAAGGGAGGCCGCAGAGGGAGAGACGCCGAGAGGGCAAGAGGGGGGGGAAAAAGAGCGGGAAAGGCAAGAGGGGGCAGAGAAGGCACAGAGAAGGAAGGAGAGGGCGAAGAGGGCGAAAAAGGGAACGGGGAAGAGGGAAAGGCGAGAGGGGGCAGAGAAGGAAGGAGAGGGCGAAGAGGGCGAAAAAGGGAACGGGAAGAGGGAAAGGGGGAAAGGGAAAGGGAGGCGAGGAGGGCGAGGAGGAGAGGAGCGAGGGAGGAGAGGGGGGCGAGGGCAAGAGAAAGCAAGCGCAGGGCAGCGAAGGCAAGAGAAGGCGAAGGAAAGAGCGAAGCGACGGGGGGGCCGCAGGAGCGCAGGGGGAGAGCGGGCGGCGGGGAACCGAGGGGGCGGAGGGGCGAAGCCGACGGGGGGAGAGGGGAGGCAGGCGGAAGGAAAGAAAGAAAGGGGCGCGCGGGGACCGGGAAGAGGAGCCGGGCGCGGGCGGGGGGCGAGGGCAGGCGAGCGCAGCGGAGCCCAGGCGGGGCGGCGAGAGGGGAAAAGAACCAGAAAGACAGAGACACGACCGCGGGCGAGGGCCGGGAGAAGCCGGGGGGCCAGAGCCCGGGGGCGAGGGACAACGAGCCAAGGCAGAAGGAGCAGAGGCAGCAAAGAGGCAGGCAGCGAGGCGCCCGAGAGGGCCGAGCAAACAGAGGAAGGACGAGGAAAGCGGGGGGGGAGGCGACGAAGACGGGGACGGGCGCGGCGAGGCGGCCCAAGCCGGGCGGAGGAAGAGGGACGGGGCGGCAAACAAAAAAAGACGCGAAGGGGGCAGACGGGGGGGAACGAGGAACCGAGGGAGCAGGCAGGAGAAAGAAGAAAGAAAAAGAAAAGCCAGGCCAGGGCGACAAAAGACCACACCCAAGGGGGGGCGCGAGCCCGAGCAGGAGGGGCCGACCCCCAGAGGGAAAGGGACGGCCCGGGGGGCCGGGGGGGGCGAGGAGGGAGGCGAACCCCCGACACCGGGGGGCGGAGCCACGGGCGCGAAGCCCCGGAGCGACAGGCCCCCCGGCGCCACGGGAGCGGGGCCCGGGAGGAGCCGCAAAAAAGGAACCGGGCCGCGCCCCGGCCAGGGCGGAGGGGAAAGCGCGGGGAGCGCGAGAAGAACGGCGCGGGCCGAGGGGGGAAGGGGGAGAGAAGGGAGGGCAGAAGGGGGGGGGGAAGAAGACGACCCGGGGCGGGGCAGGGGGGCGGGGCAGAGGGAAAAAGGAAGAAGAAGGAGAGGGCGGAAGCGGGGAGCAGCCGGGCGGCGAGCGAGGGGCCGCAGGACCGCCCCGACAGGAGCGGCACCGCAGGAGAGGGGAACCACCAAGGGCGGGAGGGAGGGGGGGGGGCCGCGACGCCGAGGACACCAGAAGAGCGAAGCAGGAACGAAGAAAGGCAGGAGAGAAAAGCAGAGGGGCGAGGGAGGGGGAGGCCCCAAGGCGGGACGGGAGGGGACACCAAAGGCCGCGGCCCGGCCAGCCCGGGGAGAGAGGCCAGGCCAGCCCGGGGGAGAGAGGGAGAGCAGAGGGGGGGGGGGAGGGGGCAAAGAGGGGAACAAGGAAAAGAGAGGGCGAGGGCCGGAGCGAAGGGAGCAGGGCAGGGAGGAACAAGGGGCAAGGCGACCGGGCGGGGAGGAGGCCGCAGCGGCAGACAGCACGGCACGGCCACGGGACACCGAGCGGAAGGAGAAACGGCGCGGCGCGCCGGGACCGGCGCCGGAAGGCGCAAAAAAAACGGCGGGCGCGCCAGCCCCGCAGGGGCAGAGAACCCGGCGCGGGCGCGGCGGGGCGACCGGAGCGCGGGGGAAGGCGGAAGAGGAGAGCACGCAGCGGGGGGGGGCGGACGACGGAGAGGCGGGCAGCAGGGAGCCGCGCCGCACGGGGCGACCCAGCGGGGACCGGGGGCACGAGAACGGGGACACCAGAGGGGCGGCCGGCCCGGGCCGCGCGGACGAGGGAAAGGGCCGCGCAAGGCGCGAACGCCCACACCGGAGAGGGACCGAACGGGCGCACGACGGGCGGAACCCAGCGCACGGACCGCGGGAAGGGGCGAACAGCCCAACCCGGGGAACAGACGACAGCCCCAGGGGGCGAAGAGCCGACAGCGAGGGGCCAAACCGGCCCGGCGAGGGGAGCGCGGGGGGAAGAGCAGCCGGGGAGCCCGAGAGGAACGGGGAGCCGGGGAGCGACGGCCCGGCCACGCGGCACCGGCGGAGCACGAAGGCCGACGGGCGGCCCGGCGCGACGGGGGGGGCGGGCAGGCAAGCGCCCGGCGGCCGGGGCACGCGAGGGCCAAGCGCCGGCCGGCCCGAGGAAACCGGGGCACGCCGCCGGGACCGGGGGGAGGCCGACGCCCCAGAGAAACGGGCGACCGGAAACGGGCCCGGGGCCCGGAGGGCCGGGCACAAGGGGAGAAGGCGAGCCCGGCCAGAGGGGGAGCGCACGGAGGGCGCGGGCCCCCCCGGAAGGGGGCCGGCGGCGCCGGCCACCGAAGCGGCGCAGGAAGGGCCCAAAGCCAAGCCCAGGGAACAGGGAAGCGGCAGAGGGGCGGGCGGGCCAGGGGCAGGGAGGCCGCAGCGGCACAGACAGGGCGAGGGCACCGAGCCGCGCGCCGAGACAGGGCCCAGAGCGGGACGCCGGGCGGGCGGGGCGGAACGGACCCGACAAGGAAGGGCGCGACCGGAGGACCGGGAGAGGGACGGCCGCCGGGCACCGGGGCGGCGGGCGCCGGCGCCCCGGGCAGCAGGGCACCAACGGCCGGAACCGGCCGGCACGGGGCAGGCGGCAGCCCCCAGACAGGGGCGGACGACGGGGCGGAGACCGGGGGGGGGGGAAACAGGCGCCCGGGCCGGGGCACGGCAACCCCCGGGGGGAGGAGGCACCCCGGCGCCCGAAGGGACGGGGCGAGGGGGCCGAGGGCCGGAGAGAGAGGGGGCGCGCGCCCCGAGGGAGGCGCGACCGACCCACCGGGGGCGGGGGCGGGGACAGGGACACGGGGGGGGGGAGCGGGCGAGCGGGGCCGGGAAGGAGGGCAGGGGGGACGGCAGCGCCGGAGCGCCGCGGACGCGAACAGGGGCGCGAGGCAGGGGCGCGACCCCGGCGGACCCGGAAAGGGCACCGGACGGGCGGGAACCGAAAACCAGCGGGCGGCGAACCGAGCCGCCGCCGGCCCGCGGGACCCAACAAAGCGAGAGGACAGGAAGAGGCACCGGGGGGCCAGCGACGACGCCGGGCGGCCGGAGCGGAGGCCCGGACGCACCCGCCGGGGACGAACCGGGCGGAGGAACCCGGAGGGGGCGGGGCAGGGGAGGCGCACCAAGGGGGGCGGGACGCAAGCCGACAGGCGCGCGGCCGCGGCGGCCACCCCGGCGCGCGCGGAGGCGGCGCACGAAGGCGGAACGCGCCCCGACCGAGGGCGGGGACAGCCCACAGCGGCGGCAGAGCGCGGAGCCCCGGGCAGCGGCGGCGCAAGAGCGCGCGAGCAGGGAGCGAGGACGCACGCGGGCAAGGGGGGCGGCGGCGAGGCAAACCGCCGGGCGGGCGCGGCACCCCGACCGCCGGGGGAGCACGGAGCGGGCAGGGAGGGGCCGGAGCGGGGGAGCCGGGCGGGGGCCCGCGCGACGAGGGAGCGGAGCCCCCAGCGGCGCACGGGCCGACCGGGACCCCGGGGAGGGGGGGGCAGAGCGAGGAGGCAGAGGGGGCCGCGAGGGGGACCGCGCGCGCGGCCCGCACCGAAACAGGGCGGGACCCCGAGAGGGCCAGGCAACGGCGGCGCCGCAACGCAGGGCGGGGAGAACCAGCGAGCGCGGGGGGCGAGGGGCAGGGCACCCCGAACCACAACGCAGCCGCGGAGGCGGCAACAGCAGGCGGGGCGGACCGCCACGGAGGGGCACCCAAGCGGCAGCCGGGGCAGGGAGAGAGCACCCAGGGGCGGGCCCAGAAGCAGGGACAAGGGCCCGAGGAAGACGCGCGGGCGCGAGGGCGCCGGGGGGGCCCGGAACCAAGCCACGGCCGAGGAGGCGCCGGCGCAGGCGGCAACAGGCACGCGGGCAGAGCCCAGGCGCCGCCCACGGCGGGGGAGCGGACGGGGCAGGGGCGAGGGCACGCCCCGCGGGGGGGGCGGGGCACCCGGCCCGCACGGGACGACGGCGCGAGCGGGCACCCAGGAGGAGGGAGCCGGGCAAGGGGGGCCGGGCGGAGGCACACGGGAGGCCACGGGCCCCAGGCGACGCGGGGCAGAGCGGAAGCGAGGGAGGCGGGCGGCGACGGGACGGGCACCAGCGAGGGGGCAGCAGGCAGGCGGCGGCGCCGAGCAGCACGACGCGGGGAGGGCGCGCCCACAACCCCGGGGCACGGGGGAGGCGGCGCCCAGGGCGCGCGCCGCGACGACGGGAAGCGCGGGGGCGGGCGGGGCCGCGGGCGACGAAGAGGGGGCAGGGCGCCAGGGGGGCGCGGGCCGGCCCAGGGAGGCAGCAGCAGGGCGAAAGGGGGCCCGAGGCGGGAAGCGCCGGAGCGAGGCGGAGGGGCAACGCCCCGAAGCAGGGCGGCGAGGACGACGCCCGGCCGCGGCGCGGGGGGCCGAGGGAGCCACCGGAAGCCGGGCCGCGGGGGAACCGCGCCCGGCACGGGGAAGGCGAGGCCAGCCGAAGGGGCGGCGAAAGGGAGGGAGCGGAGCAACGGCCAGGAAGGAGAAAGCAGAGAGCGAACCGCCGAAGCGGAAAAAGGGGGGCCGAGCAGAAAGCGGGGGAGCGGCGAAGGGCAGGAGGGGGAGAGAAGCGGACGCGAACCGCGGACAGCCGCCGCAGGGGAAACCACCGCCGCGCAGGGCCCCCGACGGAGGCGACCAGAGAGGCCAACGAGAGACAAGAAGGCCCCCCCGAACACAGCGGACAACGGGCAGCGGACGGGGCGCGCCAAAGAGCAACGCGGCGCAAAAGCGCACGCAAAAGGGGCGGAGGGGAAAGCCCACGCGAACGAAGGAGGCGGGGGGGCCGGAGGAGCCAACGACAGGAGAACCAGGAACGGAGAGCGGGCCCCCCCGGCCGCCCGACGCGGGGGGCGGAAGAACGCGGGGGGAAGAAGGAGGGAGGGCCCGGCGCCGACCCGGACGGCCCAACCGGAGAGCGGACAGCGAAGGCGGGCCACGGAGGGAACAGGGGGCGAGGGGCGGGCCGGGACCCCGGGAGGCCGAAGGCGGCCGGGGGGGGAGCGCGGAGGGCCGACGGGGGGGAGAGGAGGGGGGCGGGCCAGGGAGGGCCGGCCGGGGCGGGGGCCGCAGGGCGCGCAAAGGGGGGAAGGGAGAGAGGGCAGCAAGCGGGGCGCAAGGGCCAACGGGAGCCGCGGCCCCAGAGAGCGCAGAGGGAGGAACCCGGGGAGAGCCGCCGACGCCAACGACCGGCCAGGGACGAGCCAGACGAGAGCGGACCAACGGCCCAGCCGACCGCCGCGACGGGCGGGACAGCCCAGCGGGGGCGCAGGAGAGGCGGGCAGGGGCAGGGGGCGGGCCGCGGCCCCAGGACGGAGAAAAAGGGAGCCACCGGGGCAGGGACAAGAGACGAGCAGGACCGCCGGGACAAGGAGACAGCCAACCCGGAAGCGCAACGACCCAAGGGCAAGAGCGGAGCGCGACCAACGGAGCGAGAGCCCCCGAGCCAAGGGGAGCAGGCAGGAAGGAGGCAGAGACGGCGGCGAGGCGGGGCCCGGGCGCAGCGGGGCCAGCCGGGACGGGAACCAGAGACCGCGCCCGGGAAGGAAAGCGGCGCACCGACAGGCCAACCAAGGGGGAGAGAAGCAGGAGAGGCGGGGGCGGGAGCGAGGCAGCCGGCCCGAACGCAGCAGACAACGCGCCGCGGGACGGCGCGCGCCAAGGGGGCGGGGGCACCCCGGCGGCCGGACCCGGGCAAGGCGGGGGAAAGAACGCCGAGGAAAAAAAGAAGGCGGGAAGAGACCCGCCGGGCCCAACCCGAGACACGCGAAGAGCCGGGGGCAAACCGGCGCCCAGGGCGAGGCAAGAGAGAGAGAAAGAGACACAGCCCAGGGCACGGAGGGAGGGACGGAGGGGGGCGAAGACCAAGAAGGGAGGAGGGAGACCAAGCAGGCGGCGGACGGCGAGAGCCAAGCGCCGGGGCCCGGCGGAAAGAAAAAAGAAGGGCACGCGCGGCCGGGCGGGAAGGGAGGAGGAGGGAAAGCCGAGGGAGGGCAGCGGGCGCCAGACCGCCGGGAAAAGCAGGAAAAAAACGGCGCGAAGGGGACGAGCCCGCCGGCACCCCAGAAGGAAAGGGGGGAGCGCGGAGGGCGGGGGCGGGGAAGAGGCGGGGGGAGGGGCGCCAGGGCGGGGCCCAGGGAGGCCGAACCGCAACCGGGGCGCGAGAGAGAGCGGGCCAGACACGGAGAAGGGAGGGAGGGAGGCGCGAGAAGAGAGGAGCCGGGGGGGGCCCGCCCGGACCGCCCGGAGCCCACGAGGGAGCGAAAGGGGGAGCGACAGGGGAGCGCACCCGAAGCGCCCCAGCGAGCCGCCGGAGGAGGAGGGGGGGGGCAAACCCCGGGGCGAACAGGAGGAGGACGCCAGGCGAAGGGGCCGGGGAGGAGCCACAGCGCAGGGGCAGGCGCCGAGGAGCACAGGGAACGAGCCAGGGGGCGGAGAGCCCGCACAGCCCAGGCACAACGACGCAAGGAGCAGGGGCGCGCGCGACCACGGAGCGAAGAGCCCGGCGGGCGAGCCGCCCACGGGGGGCGCGCGAGGCCAAAAGCGAGAGAAACCCCAGCCCGCGCGGGCCGGGGGGGCCCCCAGGGCGCCACACGGGGGGGACAGGGGGACGGAAAAAAGGGGAGCCGAGCAACGGGGGCCGACCGAGGAGAAGAAGCGCAGGAGCGGGGGCGGACGGCACCGGCGAGAAACGAAAGAAGACGGCCAGCGCCAAGGGGCACGCAGACGGAGCGCCCGGCGGGGGGGGGGGGGGAAGCAGGGGCAAACCAAAAGACCCAACAAGCAGGAGCGCGCCCGGAAAAGGAGGGGAGCCAGCCGCACCGGCCAGGACGGCGACCGGGGACGACGGCACGCCAGGCACGAGCCCGGCCGGCGGCAGCCCCCGCCGGGCGGGGAAGGGAACGACGGCGGGCAGGGCCAGCGCCCAGAGGGGGACGGGCGGGGGGACAAGGCCCGGGAACGAAGGCACCGCCGGAGGGCGGACCGGCGAGGACGAGCGAGGCCGGCGGCAGGCAGGCGAGGGGCAGCCGGCAAGCCGAACGGAGGACGGGGGGGGGGGGGAGCGCACCCGCGCGGGAGCGCGACCCGGGGCCCGGCCAGGGGAGCACGGGGGGCGCCCAGGGCAGAAGGGGCAGGAGGACGGGACGGCAGCCGCACCGGCCGCCGGCGGAGCACCGGCAGGCGGGGCAGGGGGCCAAACGCAACGGGGCAACGAAACACGAGGGGGGCGCGCGGGGCGGGACGGAACCCAACACCGGACGGCACGAGCGGACGACAGCCAGGCACCACCGGGGGCCGCGGGCCCGAAGGCACCCCGCGCGGGCAAGAGGAGGCGCGGCAGGGCAAGCCCGGGGAAGGGGCGGCGCGGGGCAGCGAAGGAAACCACAGGCGCCACCGCGGGGGCGGGCCCCCGGCAAGGCCGGGGAGGGGCAGGCGGGCGAACGGACGCCCCAGGCGGGAGACGGAACGCGGGAGCGGCAGCACGGCACGGGGCGAGACGCACAGCGCCGAGGAGCCAGCGGGGACGGCGAGGACGACGGGGGGAGCGAAGCCCAGGCGCGCCCCGAGCGGGCGGCGCGCAGGGGCAGGGGCGGCCCAGCAGAGGGCGGGCGCCGGGGGGGGGCGGGCCGAGCGCGACGCAGGGCACCGCGCCACCGGAAAGGCCCGCGGCCCCGACCGGACGCCAGCGGGGGAGGGGCCACCGCCGGGCCAGGGGGAGCCCGGGGAGGGACGGCGGACGGAAAAAGCCACCGACAGACGCGGGACGCCCAAGCAGGCCGGAGAACGCGGGCAGCCGCGGGAGGACCGCGGCGGCGGGCACAGAGGGAGCCGAGGCGGAGGCCCCAGAGACCGGCAGGGCGGCGGCGCCGGGAAAAGAAGGGCACGACCCGGGGGCCGGCGACCGCCACGCGGCAGGGCGCCGGCAGGCGGGCGCCCAGGGCGGAAAAGGCCCCACGGCGGCCGCCCGGAGGAGGCGGGGCCGGGGCGCAGGCCCAGGGGGGCGGAGCAGCCGCGCGGACCAGCGACGGAGCAGCGCCGGGGGAAGCGAGGGCCGCACCAACGAGCGAAGCAGACGCGAGCCCCGCCGCGGGCGGAGGCCGCCGGGGGCGCCGCAGCCGACGGGGGAGGAGCAGCCGGGGCCAGCGGGGGGCCCCGCCCAAGGGCAGGGGCGGACGCGGGACGCACCCGGCCGCCACGGGAAACACCACGGCCCGGCCGACGGGCAGGGGGGAAGCAGGCCGCCAGCGGGCAGCCGGAGCCAGGAGCGAACGCGCCAGGAGAGGCAGAGGGGCAGGACGGAGAGCGGCCGGGGGCGGAGACAAAGCGAAGGCGGAAGGCAGGCCAAGGCAGAACGGCGAGCCAGGCGCGGCAGAGGCGCCCGGAGGGCGCGCCCAGAAAGAGAGCCAGCCCGGCCCCCGCACGGCAAGCCCACGAGCCGCGGAGCCAGGCGCAGGGAAGCACAGCGGGGGGGCAAAGCCAACGAGAAAAACGCACAGGGGACGGAGGGAGAAGCAGGCGCGAACGGAGGACGGCCACCACGGCAAGGGGACACGCGACCGCGGAGGGAGAGCCCGGCCCGGCCCCCAGCGAGAAAGGGAACGGACGAAGCCGAAGGCAAAGGGGCGAGAAACGCAACGCCACGAGCACGAGGGGGAACAACGGGGAGCCAGGCCGGCGGGCGCACGAGGACGGAGAGGAAAAGAAGGGGCAAAAGCGGAGGCAAGGGGCAACGGCCCCGAGCGGAAAGAGGAGGGACGACCGAGGCCGAACCGAAGGAACGGGAGGGACAGCGCGGGGGCACGCAAGAGGGCGGAGGGGGGCCACGCCCCGGGGAGACCCCGAAAAAGGGACAAAGGCCGGGCGGAGGAACACAGACAAGAGGCGGCACGACAAAAAGGAGAAGGGGAACCCCACCAGGAACGACGGCAGGGAGGAAGGCAGAGGAAGAGAAAGACAGGGCCGGCCGAGACAGAAGGGGGAACGGGCGAGCCGCGGGCCGAGCAGGCAAAGAGGGACCGCCGGGGAAAGGAGGAGGCAGGCGGAGCGACAGGAGAGGCCAACGACAGGGCCAGAAGCCAGGGGGAGAGGGGAAAGAGGGGGACCGCCGGGCGGCGCGCCGGGGACACGGCGCGGCCCGCCGAGCCCCCGGGCGCCGCGGGCCACAGAGACAAAAGGGAGGACGGGGGCCAACAGGGCAGCACGGAAGAAAGGACGCACGAAGGCGGGAGCACGAACGAAGACGAAGCGAAGGAAGACGAAGCGAAGAGCGAAGAGAAGAGAAAAGAACGGGCGGGGCGGGAGACGGGCCCCGGGGCCGGGGCGACCGCGGGCGGGACGCAAGCGAGCGGAGGAGAGAGAGAGCCCGGCAACAGAGGGCAGCGAAAGGAGCGCGGAGACCCACCAAAGGACGAAAGCCAGGAGCGGGCAGAAAACGGAGGCCGAGGCAAAGAGGGCAGAACCGCAGGGAGAAGCGCACACGAACCCGGCAAGGGGGGAGCCAAAGGCGAGAGGGGCCGGGGGAGGGAGCGGGAAGGAAGGGGAAGGGAAGAAGAGCGAGGCAGACAGAAGAAAAGGGGCGCGAGGGAGGCAAACACGGGACCGAGGGGAGAGAGGAAGGGGAAAAACCGAAGAGGGCACAGAGGACGGGGAGGACGGGGCGGAGGGGGGCGGACCGGGCGGGCAAGGAGAAAAGGGGGCAAAGGCGACAGGAGCAAACCGAGGGGGCGGAAGGAAGGAGAGAAAAAAAGAGAGGGGAAAGGAGGAAGAGGAAAGCAAGAGAAAGAGGAAGGAGAAGAACCCAGAGGCCAAAGGAACAAAGGCAAACGGGAAAGGGAGCGGGCGGAGGCGGGAAGAAGGAGGGGCAAAGGGAGGGAGCAAGAAAGAGCGGGGGGCGGAGGAGAAGAGCGGGAGGGGAGCCGCAGAGGGGGGGAAAGAGAAGAAGCGGCGCCGGGGAGAAGAAGCAAAAAGGGACAGGGGGCAAGGGGAACAGGAAAACGGGACGCAAGGGGGCCGAGGGACGCGGCGGGGCGGAGGGGAAGAAGAGAGGGGAGGAGCGAACGCGGAAAAGGAGCCAAGGAAGGCGAAAGAAGGGAACGAGGAGCCGGAGGAGGGGAAAAGCGCAGGGACGGGGCGGGAGAGGGGCAGGAAGGGGGACGGAGCGGGCAACGGGGCCACGAGCACCCCCAAAAAACCAAACGCGGCCGGACGGAAAGGGGCCAGAGGACGAGGAACCGCGGGAGGGGAAAGCACGGCGGAGAGACCCGGCAGCGGCCAGAAGGGACAAGAACAGGCGGGAGGCGGAGGAAGAGGGGGAAGGGGGAAGGAGGGACCCGGGGGGAGAGAGCACAGGGGGCGAGGAACCCGAGAGGCGGGCGGAGGAAAGGAGCGGCAACAAGGGCGGGCGAGGGCGGGGGAGAGGCGGAGCCAAGACGGGGAGCAGGGAGGAGGCCACGGGAAGCGCGAGAAACAGGGGAAGGGGAGGGCGAACCCAAGAACGAAAGGGGCGGAAGGGGACGGGAGCAGGCGACCAGGAGACAAAAGAGCGGCGGGCGAAAGAAAGGCGAGGCGGAACGCGGAGAGGGCCAAGGGGCAAGAGGGAAAGAAGGGCAGAGGGGGGCCCGGACGGGGGCCGGGGCAACAAACAAGGCGAAAGACCGCGACGGGGGAGAACAGGGCCGAGGCAAAGAGCAAGGAGGCGAAGCACGGCGGGGACACGAGGGAGGAAACCCAAGGACGCAAGCGGAGGGAGAGGGAAAAGACAGGAGGGCCAAGCCGAGCAGGAAAGGGAGGGAAACGGAGACGCAAGGGAAAGGGAGGAAACAGAAGGCCAGACGCGAGCGCAGAGAGACAGAGAGAAGGCGGCGGAAAGCCGGAGGCGAGGAAAGGCGGAGGGACGGCGGGGAGGGAGAGCGGCAGAGCGGGCGAGAGCCACCCGACAAGAGGGGGGAAAAAAGCCAAAAGAAGGGAGGGGAGCCCGGAGAAAAAGAAAACGGAGGCGGGAACCCCGGGCACGCGCAGGGCACGGCGAGGGACGGCAGAAAAAAAAACAGCAAAAGCCGAGCCAAGGGAGCGGAAGCGAGGAGGGAACAGGGGGGGGAACCGGAGGCGGAAACACGGAAAAAAAGCAGGGGCGGAGCAAAGGAGCGAGCGAGCCGGGAAAAAGAGGCAACAAAAAACAGAAACAAAGCCACGAGCCGGGGGACGGCAAGCAAGACGGGGAGGACGCCCAAGAGAACAGGAAAAGCAAGACGGGGAGGGGGAGCGACGCAGCAAGGGCCCAGGGAAAGAGGAGCCACACAAGGAAAAGCACGGGCCGGGCGGGGGGGAGGAGCGGCAGCCCGAAAACGGCCGGGGCGAGAGAGGGCGGGCAAAGGAAGGGCCGAAGGAGGGGAGGCGGCCAAAGGGAGGGGCGAGGCCAGACGCAAAAAGGAAGAAACGCGGAGAAGGGCAGAGGCAAAGAGAGCGGGGGCGCAGGGGCGGGAAGCCAGGAACAGGAGCGAGCCAGCGCGAGCGGAAAAGAAGCAAGAGAAAAAGAAAGAAGCAGAAGGGAGCGAGAGAGGGCGCGAAACAAACGAAAGAGGAAACAGAAAGCAGGGAGCAACGAAGCCCGCGCGGGGACGGGCGGAAAGAGGAACCGCAGGGAAAGACCAGGGAAGAAGGGGGAGCCGAGGCAGGGAGAGGCCGGAAAGAGGCCAGGCCAAAAAGGGAAAGGGCGACACAAGGGGGAGGGGGGGGGGGAAAGGGGAAGCAGGGACGAAGGCAGGAGCGGGCAGGGACAGAAGGAAAACGGCAGGCGCGAGGCGACGAGAAGGGGGAGGAAAGCCGGGCAGGGGCGGCGCGGCGAGGGAAGGGGGAGGGGCCCAGAAGGGAGCCGAAGGGGGGGCCGAAGGCGGCGGCGGAGGAGCGAGGCAACCGCGGAGCAAAAAGAGAGACCGGGGGGAGAGGGCAGCGCGGCAACAAGGGGAGGAAGGAGCAGAACGGCCCGAGGGGGCCGAGGGAGAGAAGAACCGAGGAGGAGCGGGGCGGGAAAGGGCCAAACGAACAAGGGCAACGAAAGCGGGCAAGGGCGGAGGGGACGAGGGGCAACGCGAGGAGGCCGCGAGCCGGAGAGGACAGGGAAGGGACAGAAAGGGCGAGAACAGAGGGGCGCGGAGGCGGAGGAACAGCGACGCGAGGAGGAAGGGGGGAGGCCGGGGCGAACGAGGGCAGAACGAGCGGGGGAGCGCCAGAAGGGGGCAGGGGAGGCGCCGACCGAGGAGCGGGAGAGACCAAGAAAGAGGGACGGGCGAAGGAGGCGACGAGGAAAGAGGACGCAGGGGGGGGGCAAGCGCGGCGAGGCGGGGGCAGGGGGCGCGGGGCGAGAGGGGGAGCCGGGGGAGAGAGGGAGCGGCAAGAAAGAGGGAAGGGGCGGAGCAAGACACAAAGGGAGAACGCCCCAGGAAGGGCAAGGCGCGCAGAGGCAGCACCGGAGGAAGGGGGGGCAAGCGGGCCCCAGCCCCGGCGCAGCAAGGGACGCCGGACGGAGACGAAGGAGGGCGGGGCGGGCGAGAAAGGCCGAGCGAGCGCGGAGAGGGGGGAGGGGCAAAACGCCAGGGACAGGCAGAAGAGAAAGGCGAGCCCCACGCGGACCAAGACAGAACGGGGACGGGGCAAAGAACAAGGAAGGGGAAGCAGGGGCAGGAACGACGAAGCGCGGGAGGAGAAACAGAGCCAGGGGGCAAGGGCGGGAGGACGGGGAGGGCCGACAAAGGAGCGGACGAAGGACGGAGACAAGACGGGAAGGCGCGAGGGAGAGGCGACAGAGGGGGGGCGCAGCCGGCAGAGACGACGAGGGGAAGAAGAGCAGCCGGCGACAAAAGGAGCACCCGAAGAGGAGCAGCGCGGGGCGAGGGAGAACGAAGGAAAGCAGAGGGGGCGAGGGCGCAAGCGGGCGGACGGGCGCCGACGGAACCAAGGGCGAAAAGAGGGAAAAAAGCAGGCAGGCACAACCACGGAGGAAGGAGGCCGCGAAAAGGGCAGGAGGAGGAAGCCGGGGAGAAAGCGAAGGGAGGCGGGCGGAGACAGACGCGAGGAAGGGAAGCAAAAAAGAAAGAAGAACCCAGCGGCGGGCGGGGAGCACGGAGGAGCCGGGGGAGAGGAAAGGCGCAGGCACGGGGGGGAAGGAGAGAAAGAAGGGAGGAAGCCGCGGGGCGACGCGGACGCGCCCACCCCAGGCGGGGCGGGGCGGGCGGGGACGGCGAAAGGAGCGGCGGCAGCGGCAGCCACGCGAAGGGGCGAGAGGCCGGGGAGGCGCAGCAAACGAAGGGCAGCGGCGGCGGGAAAGCCGAGCGAGGCGGAGCAGGAGAGGGGGAAAGCGCAGGGCGAGGACGCAAACAAGCAGGAAACGGAGGCGGGCCGAGGCGGCCAGAGGGCAAAGCGGAGAGGGCAGGAGGGGAAGAAGGGGGGGAGACGCAAAGGAGGGAGAGGCAAGCAGGAGAACGGAGAGGCGGGGCGAGAGCGCCAGGAAGCGAGGAGCGGGGGCGGGCAGGGGAGGAGGGGGCGACGGACCGGAACGGAGAACAGGCGAGAGGAGGCAGGAGGAGACACAAAGGAGCCGGGGGGGCGCGCGCGGGAGCCCGAGGGCGCGGAGCCCGAGGGGGGCGGCCGCCACGAGCAGGGGGGGCGGAAAACGCGAGGGAGGCGGGGGGGGAGGGCAGGCAGGCCGAGAGGGCGGGGGGGGAGAGGACGCCGGACAAGCGGGGGGGCGAGCGACGAGGAGCGAAAAAGCAGCAAGGGAGGAAGGACGGGACGAAACCAAGCAAGAACCCCGCACGGGCGAAAGGAGAGAAGAGCCCCAGCAAACAAGGCCAGCGAAGGGAGGAGGAGGGAGGGGGGAGAGCAGCGACGAGACCAGGAAGAGCAAGGAACCCGAGGAGGGCAAGGGCGCAGGAGACCCGGGGGAGCGGCGAGGGGCGAGGGCGGAGGGCAAAAGCCCGCGGACGAACGGGAAGCAAAGAGGCGGAGAGCGGGGCCGCCCAAAAGGGGCGAGGGGGAGGAACGGAGAAGCGGAGGAGCGAGGCGAGGCCAGGAGGAGAAGGGCAGGCCAGACCGGACCAGGGCGGAAGAGGGGGAGGCGCAGGAGGAGAAGGGGCCAGGCGAGGGGAGCGAAAGAGAGACGAGGGGGCCAGAGGGAGCCCGACGGCGGGACAGGCCAGGGAGGAGGAGGAAGAGACGGAAGCGGACCGGCGGGGACAGAGCGCGCGGGGAACCCGAGGCACCGCGGGGAGGGAAGCGAGAAAGAGGGGGAGGGGCCAGCGGGGGAGAGAGAGAAGGCAGGCGCCGGAGAAGGCAAAGCGAAGCAAGGGGAGGGCCAACGCGGGCCGAGAGGACAGGACCGAGCGAGAGAAAGACGCCACCGGGGGCAGAGAGGCCAGACAGGACACGAGAGAGAGAGCAGAGGCAGGGAAGACGAGGCACGGGCAAGAGGCCGGGGGGGGAAAGGGGAGACACGCGAGACGCAAAAGCGCGGGCGAAAGAGCGGGGAGGGGCGAGGCCGCGGCAAGGCAGAAGAGGGAGAAGGCGCAGGGAAGGAGCAAGGCAAGAAGAGAGCGCGGAGCGAAGCGGGAGAGCAAGACCGAGGCGAGCGAGCCGAGCGCGGGGAAGAAAGGCGGCAGCGGAGCGCGAAAGCGGGGGGAGCGCCGCGAGCGAAGGAAGGGGGAGGCGGCGGGCAAAGGGAAAAGCGGCCGCCCGGCACCCAGCCCCCGAGGAGAGGCGGCAACAGGAAGCACACAAGGGGAGAGGAGAAACCGCCGGGAAAAGGCCCGCCCGGAACCCAGGCAAGGCGGGGCCACGGAAGCCCGCGGGCAGGGCCACAGAGCGGGCCGGCGAAGGAAGGGGAAAGCGGGCGCCGGGGACAGGAAGCCAAGGGCAGGGCAGCCGGGAAAAGCCAGCGGGGCGCAACAAAGGCGGGGGCAGGGGAGCAAAGAGGGGGCCGGGAGAGAGGAACAGAGGGGAGAAAGACGGAGAACGCGCGGAGAGAGGAGGAGAACGGAAAGAGCCAGGAGAGAAGGAACGAGGGGGGCGAAGCCAGCGCGGACGAGGAAGCAACAAGGCGAAGGGCGGGGCGGGCGGAGGCGGGAGAAACCAGCGGGGAGAGGGAGAGCGAGAGGGAGAAGGCGCAGCAGGGGGGGAAGGGGGGGCAGGAAGAAGCCCCGGGGACAGCGCGGCAGCGGCAAAGAAGGCGCGACGGGAAAACACAGAGCCAGGGGACCGAGCGGGGAAGAGGAAAAAGAGGGGAGCGGCGGGGGCCCAAAGGAAGGGGCGGAGGCGAAAAAAGCCGGGGCGGGGGAAGAGCGAGCGCGGGGCGGGGACGGCAGGGGGCCACGCGGCAAGAACGCCGAAGCAGGCGCGGGAAGCGCAGCCGCGGGAGCAGAAAAGAGCCGCGGGCCCCGAAAGGACCGGGACCAAGAGGAAAAGCCCAAGGCAGGGGGCCGGGCGAGACAAAGAAAGCCCCAAGGGCGCCAGAGGCGAGGAGCCCAAACGAGGGGAGGGAAGAAAGCCGCCGCGAGCGGGGCGGGGCAAGGGGAGGGGCAAGGGCGCCGGCGGCAAACGCCGAGGCGGAGGGGGCAGAGAGAAAGAGCGGAGCAAGGAGAGAACAAGAGCCGGGGGGCAGCAGAGCGAAGGGAGGCCGCGGGGCGGGCCGAAGAAGCAAGGGCACGCGAGCAGGAGCAAACGGACGGCAAGGGGGCGGGCCGCGAAGAGCCCACCAGAGCGCCGGCGACGGCGAAGAGGCCAGGAACGAGAGCAGAAGCAGGCGCAACGAGGCCAGAGGAAGGGAGCCCAGGGGGGCAGCGGGGCCGGGGAAAGACCAAAGAGCGGGAGCGACCGAGCCGGCAGAACAACGCAAAAGAGAAAGAAGGAGCGGGAAGGGCGGCAGGCGCGGGCCAAGGGCGAAGGACCAGGGGGACAAAGAAGAAGCCCCGGCGGGACAGAAGGGCGGCGGCAGAGAGAGAGAGAGAGGAGCGAGGGGACAAGGACGGAGAAGGACAGGGGGGGCGACAGCCCGGCCGAGCGGAGAGAAAAGGAGCCCAGGAGCCGGAACCGAGCGGACCGGGGAGCGCAAAGCCCAAGGGGGGCGAGGAAGAGCGGAGCGAAGGGGAGGAGGGGCGAGAAGGGAGGGCGGCGGGGGAAGACGAAGCGAGAGGACCGCAGGGGGAAGGGCGACAAGAGCGCGGGCAGGGGGCCCCAGGGGGAGGGACCCGAAGCCGGGAGGAGGGAACAGGGCGGGGCCAAGGGAAAGCCCCGAGGAGAGGAAAGAGGGAAAAAGGACGGGCGGGGGGGGGAAGAAGAAGCCGGCGGAACGGAAGGCACGGAGGGAAGGGGGCGGAGCGAGGAGAGCGGGAGCCACGGGGGGGGGAAGAGGAGGCGAAGCAAGAACAAGAAGAGGGCGAGGAGAACAGCGGGCACAAGCCCGGGAGAGAGGGGGCACGAAGAGACCGAGGGAGAAGGAAGGCGACGCAGGCACAGCCAGAGCAGGAAGGGGGGGAGCCAGAGGAGGCAAGGAGACAGGGCGCGGGCGAAGGCGAAGGGAAGGGGGAGAGACAAGCGGGGGAGGGCCGCCAGCAGCGCCGGAGCCAGAGGGAGCGCAGGCAGCCAAGGGAGCAGGGCCAGCGCCGGAGCAAGGGCACGAGCGAGAGCGGCACGAGCAGCAAGAGGGGCACGAGCAGCAAGAGCGAGAGCGGCACGAGCAGCAAGAGGGGCACGAGCAGCAAGAGCGAGAGCAGCAAGAAAGGGAGGCGGCGGAGCCAGGAACGGGGGAAGAAAGACCGGAAGGAAAGGAACAGAGGAGGGGGGCGCGAGGGAGGGGACCAAAGAGGAGCGGCCAGGGCCGAGAGAACCGAGCACGAAAAGACCCCGAGAGGGGGAGAAGGCGAAGCGGAGCGAAAAAGGGGGGCCAGGAGAGGGGAAAGGAAAACGAGGAGCCCCAGACGAAGGGGGGGAAGAAGGGAGGGGCGGAGAAGGAGCAAGGAAGAGCCGGCGGGCGGCGAAACAGGAGAGAGGGAACGCAGAAGGCAGGAGAGGCGGGGAGGAAGGGCAACCAAGGAGCGGAAGGAAAGGGCGCCCGGGGGGCAAGCAGGGGAGAACCAGAGGCAGGCGGGGAGAAAGGAGCACGAGGAGGCAGACGCAAGAGAAGGCGGGGGCGGGCGGGAAGGCGGAGAGCGGAACCAAGAAGGGGCGGGCGGCCGCAGGAAGCGAAGCACGGGGCGCGACCCAGGAGGCGAGGGGAGCAGCAAGCCAAGCCCCGGGCACGGGGGGCGGGGGCGGAGCAAGGAAGAGAGCGCGGGACGGGGAGGACGGAGAGGGCGCGGAGGGAGAGAAAAAGCGAGGCGAGGGAGGGGAAAGAGAAAGAGAGGCGGGAACCAGAAAGAAGGCGGGGCAGACGGAGGAGACGGAGCGAGAAGGGGGCGCAACGCAAGCGCAAGCAGGGAGGAGGGAAGCAGCAAAGAGGGGACCGGGGCGAACGCGGGCGGGAACGCACGAAAGGGCGGGGAAACAAAGAAAAGAGGGAGAAGAACGAGAGAGCCAGCAACAAGAACAAGGAAAAGGAGGGAAGAGAGGAAGGCCCAAACAGGGGGGAGCGCAGAGGGGGCGAGAGCAACGACGACGGAGGCGGGGAGGGCGAGGAAGCAGGGCGGGGGACAGAAGAGGAGGGAACCAGGGACGCGAGAGCGCACGGCGGAGAAAAAAGGGCAGCGGCCACAAGGGGGGCGGAAGAAGGCGCCACGAGAGACCCAGAAGAGCAGGAAAAAGGGAGACACGGCGACGGAGGAGGGACAAGAGGGCGGAAAAAGGAGCGAAAAAGAGCGAAGGGAGAGAGGGGGACCCGGGCGAAGGAAAGAAGCGGGGCAGAGAGGGGGGAAGAGAGGCCAGGGGGGGGAGAGAAGGGAAAAAGCACGAGCGCGGGGAAAGGGGGGAGACAGCCGCCCGGGCGGAACCCCAACGCAGGGCGGGAGACAAAGACGCGGGGGGCCGGGGGCGGAGGGGAAAGCGGGCGCAGAACAGGGAAGGGGAAGCAAACCGAGAGGGGAAGGGAAAGGGGGACACGCAGGAAGGGGCGGGCCGGCGGAAGCAGAGAGAGGCAGAGCGGAAAGAGGGGGACAAGAAGGGCGGGCAAAAGGGACAAGGGGGCCCGCGGGGAGAGGGGGGCCAGAAGGGGCGACGAGCGAAGAAAGAGCGCGACGAACGAAGGGAGCGGGGCGACGGAGAAAAGGAAAAGAGGGGGCCAAGGGAGACCGGGCGGCACCACGGGGGGGAAAAGCGGGAGGGAGGAAGAGGGGAGAGACGGGGGACGCGAGGGGGGAAAGAGGAGGGCGCCCCCCAAAAACAGGGGGGGGGGACCAACGCACAAAGAAAAGCGGGGCGGGCGAAGGAACAAGAGAGGAGAAAGGGCCCAGAGAGAAAAGAGGAAGGAGGAGGACGAGCCGGGGCCACAGAAAAAGGGAAGCGGGGGGACAAGAGAAGCAGAAGGGAGGCGGAGGAGGCAAGAAGCGAAGGCGAGGGGCGGGAGAAAAAGAGGAGAGCAAGGAACGGCGGGGAAAGGGGGGCCCGGGAGGCAGCCAAGGGGCGGGAGCGGAGAAGAGCAGGGAGAAAGAGGAAGCGGGGGAGCAAAGGAGGGCCGGCGAGGAGGGCGAGGAGGGAAGGAGGCAAGCAGCCGCGGGGGGAGCGGAGGGAACAAAAAGGGGGAGAGGGGGCCGCCAGGGAGCAAGAAGGGCGAAGGACCAGCAGCAGCCAGGAAGAAGGGGGGCAAGGGGGCAAAGGAACAAGGGGAAAACCGAGCGAGGCGAACAACGGAGGGCAGAGGGGAGCAGGCGGACCGGGCAAGGCAGAGAGGGGAGGCGGACCGAGGAAGGGGGGGAGGCCCAAAACGGACACAGGAAAAAGGAAAAGAAAGGGAAGGAGACAAAAAGAAAAGCAACGGGGCCAAAAAACGAAGGGACGGGCCCAAAAAACGAAGGGACGGGGAGAAAAGGAAAAAGAAACGAAGGGACCGGGACCACGGGGGCAAAAAGAAAGGAAGCAACGGAGACACAGCGGGGGCGAAGGGCGGGCAAACCGCAGAAGAAGGCAGCAAAAAGGGAGGAAGACGAAGACGGGGAGAAAGACGGAAGGGAGCAAACAGGACGGGAAAACGGCGCGGGGGCACGGGAAAAGGCACGGGAAAACAGCGGGGCGGCGCAGAAAGGAAAGGGGCCAAAGGGGCCGGGCAAGGCGGGCGCCCAGGGGACCAGGGGGAGAGAGAGGCAGAAGCGGGGGGGAGCAGAGAGGGCAGGAGAGGGCGAGGACGGAGAGGAGCCGGGCCGGGGGAGCCCGGGGAAGGCCAGAGGCGAAGGGGCGAGCGGAGCGAGGCAGGAAAAAGAAGCGAGGCAAGACACGGCGGAGGGACCGAGGAGAGGGAGGGGAAGCAGAGGGCGGAGCAAGCGAGAGGGAGGGACGGCGGCCAGGAGGGGAGGGCGAGCAAAGACCACCAGGGGGGGCGGGAGAGCGCCCAAACCAGGCCCGCAGGAGAGCCAGACCCGGGGGGGCGGAGCCGGCGAAAAAAAGAGGCAGGCGCCGCAGAACGAAAAAGAACAGGAGACAGAACCAAGAAAGAGGGCGGGGGCGAGGCAGCCCGGGGGGGAAGACCGCAGGCAAGAAGGGGGGGGAGCCAAGCCGGACGAAGCAAGAGAAAAAGAAAAGCCCGGAGGAGACACCAGAGCCGGCGCGGGGAGGGAGAGAGGAAAGAGAGCGGCCAGGGCGGGCAAGCGCGCGGCGGAGGCAAAAGCAGGGGGGAACGCGGAGCCGCCCCGGGGCCGGGCAGGGAAGCGGGGAAAGAAAGCAAAAAAGGGAGGGGGGGAAAGAAGGAAAGCGGAGGGGAACGGGCCAGAGCCGGGGCAGCCGGCGGAACCAGAGCACAGCCCGGAGCGAAGGAAAGAGAAGGAAGGGAGAGAGGAGGGGGAAAGACGGAAGGAGGGGGAAGAAAGGAAGCAGGGCGGGAGGGGCGGAGCGCCGGACAAAAGAAAGAGGGGGCGGCAACAAGGGCGGCGCGCGAGGGGACCGCGCAGGAGGAGGCGAACCCAGAGGAAGGGCGGACCAGCGAGCAGAGAAAAAAGAACGAACGGAGCGGGGAGCAGGCCCAAGAAAGGCGGCCAGGGCGGCCGGAAACAGAGGAGGAAGCAGCGGGGGCGCGCGGGCCGGGAAGAGCGGGGACAGGGAGGAAGAGCCAGAAAGGGGGGCGGGAAGCGGGCGGAGGCGAGCGCGGGGCGGGCCGGGGGAAGAAAGGAAGGAGCCCAGGGAAGCGAGCGGGCGGCGAGGGGGGGAAGCGCGCGGGGAGGGAGCAAGGGGCGAGAGGCCGAAGCCGCAGGACGAAGGGAAGCCAAAGGAGGGGAAGCCAAAGGAGCGCGGGAGGGAGCAGAGGAGCCGGGCAGGGGGCGAGAAGCCGGGACGGGAACGAAACGAGACCGGGGGGAAGCAGAGGGAAGAGGGGACCAGACAGGCCGGACCGGGCGAAAAAACCGAGCCGGCGGGCCCAACCACACAGGGCCGAACCAAAAAGACGAGGCGGGCGGAGGAGGCCCCCAACGAGGGAAGAAAAGGAAGAGAGCGGGGCGGAAGGGCCACAGAGGAAAGGGAGGACAAGGGGGCAACGAGAGAGCCCCCGGGGGGCGCGAGAAGAGAGGGGAAACAGGCGCAGGGGGGGGAAGAAAAGCCCCGCGGCAAGGGGGCGGGGGCACGAAAAGCAGACAGAAGAGAAGAAAGCCAGGCGGGCGCGAAGCGGGCCAAGAAAAGAGGAGCAGCCAAGGGCCAAGCAGGGGCCGGGGGGGGCGAAGCAGCAGCCAGAGAAGAGACAAAAAGAAACGCCAGAGAGGGGCGAGCGGGCGCGGGGAAGAAGAGCGCAAGGGCGGCGACGGGGGCAGGAGAGAGCGGACAACGAGAAGGCCGCGGGGGAGGGAGAGAACCCCAGGACGCGCGGGCCGAGGCAGGAAAGAACGCGCAGAGAGCGGGGGCCGGGGGGAAGAGACAGGAGCGAAACAAGCAACCGAGGGAGAGGGGAAGACCCAACAGCGGCGGCCAAGCGAGCAGGGCGGGGGCCAGGGGAAGGCAGAGGGAGAGGAAGAAACCCGGGCAAAGAGAGGGGGGGGCGGGCGACCAGAGGGCGAGGGGGAAGACGAGAGAGAAGGACCGCGACGACAAAGAGGAGGACGCCCCGGAGCGGGAAAGAGCGAGGGCGGGGGGAACCCGGGAAAGGGCGGGAAAGGAGAAGACGAAAAAGGCGGGGGGCAAAGAGGGGGAGAAAACGGGCGGGGGGGAAAAAAAGGGGAAGAAAGGAGCCCACGGAAGGGAAGGGGGGCACGAAGCGAAGAAAGAGGGAGAAGGCGGGAGCGCGCGCAGGAGCGCGCGCAAGGCGAAAAGACAGAACGGGAGGGGAGGGGGGCAGGAGGGGCACCCCAGACGGGAGGGGAGGGGGGCAGGAGGGGCACCCCGAGAGGGCAGCGCAGGGGAGGGGGAGGGCGGGGAGGGGAGGGAAGGGAGGGAGGGGAGGGAAGGGAGGAGGGGAGGGGAGGGAGGAGGGAGGGGAGGGGAAGGGAAGGGAGGGAGGGAGGAGGGGAGGGGAGGGAAGGGGAGGAGGGGAGGGGAGGGAGGGAGAGGAGGGGAAGGGAGGGTGAGGAGGAAGGGAGGAGGGGAGGAGGGAAGGGAGGGGAGGGGAGGGAAGGGGAGGAGGGAGGGAGGTGAAGGAAGGAGGGGAGGGGGAGGGGAGGGACGGAGGGGGAGGAGGGGAGGGGCACCGGGGACAAGGGCCCGGGGAAGCAGCCAGGGCGGAGGGGGAAAGCGCCCAACGCAGAAGGGCGAAGGCGGAGGGGCAAGGCCGACGGGAGGCACGCAAGCAGGACCGGGGAAGCGCAGCCAGACAGAACGAAGGGAGGGCACAGAACACAAGGCAGAGCCAGAGCAGAACAGAGCGAGCGAGAGGGGGGCAGAGAGGAGAGAGAGAGAGGGAGCAGAGAGAGAGGGAACGAGAGGAACAGGAAGAACGAGCAGGCGGAGGGAGACGGGAACGCAGAAGTGAAGAAAAGAAAGGGAGGGAGGGAAGCAAAGAGGCAGGAGGGACAGACAAAAGGAGGCGGGGAGGGGGAAAAAGAAAGAGACGGTGAAGAGCGAAGCAAGAGCAACGAAGAGAGGAAGAAAGCGGCGAGCGAACGCGGGGGGGGGGCAAGGGAAAGGGGGGAAGAGCCAGCGCCGGCCGCAAAGAGGAGAAGAAGGGGACAGACAAGGAGACGGGGAAGCAGGACGCGGCAACCGGGGGAGGCGAGGCAACCGCGGAAAAAGAGAAAGAACGGCAAGCAAAAGACGGAAGAGCAGGGGGAGACAAGGAGACAAAACGGAGACCCCGAGGACACGCAAGGGAACCGGAAAGGGCAAGGGAAAGCACGCGAGGAAAGAAGGGGAGCGAGGGGACAGCAGCGGGGGGGAAAGGGCGGAAGGCCAGAGGAAGCAGGACCGCAAGGCAGAGAGGGGAGGGCAGAAGCGGCGAGACCGCGAAAAGAGAGGGGCGACGGAAGGAAAAAGACAGAGAGGGGCGAAGCGAGACCAGAGAAGACGACCCGAAGCGAAAGGCAGACAGGGGGCGCAGACACGAGGGGAAGGGGGAGAAGAGAGAGAGGGGACAGCCAGGGGGGCGAGAAGGGGAGAGAGCAGGGGGGCGGGACAGAGGGGCGAGAAAAAAGCGGAAAGGCCCGACCGGGGACCGAAAGGCCCGGAGGCACGGCGAGACAGAACAGAGAAAGCACACGGGGAAAGGAGGGGGGACAAGGAGCGAGAGCAGCGGGGGGCGGGCGCGAAAACGGAGGCCAAAAGAGGGAAAAGCAGCCACAAGAAAAGGACCGGCGGGGGAGGGCCGGGGAGAGCCAAAAAACGGCGCAGCAACAGGCGGACAAGGGCGGGAAGGGGCTGGGGGAACCAGAAAAGGGGGGGGAGAGCCGGAGCGAAACGGGGGCGAGGGAAGCGGCCGGGAGGAAGAGGAGGAGGGAGGAAACCGGGAGACCAGCCCCAGGGAGGGGGGAAGGGAGAGCGCCAAGGGGGGAGAAAAAAAACCACAACCCGGGGGGGAGCCGGCACGGGGAAGAAAAAGGAGAAAAAGAAAGAAAGAGAGGGAGAAGGGCAGGCGGCGGCACCGGAGGAAGGAGGAAAGAAAAGCGAAGGGAGGCGGCAAAAAAAAAGAGAGAGGAGGCAGCGGGGGCACGGGCACGAAAAAAAAGCCCGGGGAGCGAAGCAGGGAGGAAAAAAAGGGAGAGCGGAAACAGCAAGCAGAAAAGAAAGAAGAAGACGGGGGCCGGGGAGCCACCAGGAGACGACAAGGAGGGGCAGACGAGGGCCAGCCAGAAGGGAAAAGAGCAGCGGCCGAGGGAGAGAACGGAGCAGAGGGGAGGGACACAAAGGGGAGAAGGGGCAGCGACGGGCAAGGGCCGAGGACACACAAAAGGGAGAAGAGACGCGGCGGCGGGAAGGGGAAGACGAAAAAGACGAAAAAAAGAGCGAGAGGCGGAGGAGGCAGGAGGAGGAGGCAACGGGAGGGACCAGCGGGCGAAAGAAGAAAAAACCAGAAGGAGACGCGGGAGGGCAACAAGAGCGAGGGCGGCGGACAAAGCACGAAGAGGCAGGGACCAAAGGCGGGGCGGCCGAGGAGAAACACGGAGAGAGGAGAACGAAGGCCGAGCGAGCAGGGGAGCCCAGGGGAAAGGGGGGAGGCGGCAGCAGCAAACGCGAGGACACGAGGGCGGCCAAGGAAGCCAAGGGAGGGAGGAGGAAAGCGGAAGGGAAGGAGGGGACGACCGGAAAGAAAGCAAACCGCGAGCGCGCGGACGGAGGGAGCCGAGAAAAAGACACCGGCCAGAGAACGAGGGGACGAAAGAGAGAGCGGGAGACGAGGCGGAAGCGAGAGAGCGCAAGGGGGAAAAAAACCGAGAGGGAAAAAAAAAGGCGACAGCGAGGGCAGAGGAGGAGCGCCAGAAGAGAGGGGGGGGAGGGGACAAAAAGAAAGCCACGGGGGGCAGACGGGGGACAACCAAGGGCAGCAGGCCCGGGGGGGGCACAACCAAAAAAGGAGGCGGAAAGGCGACAAGAAGAGCAAAAAAGAAGAAGGGGAGCAAGAAGGAGGGACAAAAGAAGAGGAGACAGCCGCGGGCGGCACGGGAAGGGCACGGAGAGAGAGGCAAAAAGGAAGCGAGCGGAGCAAAGGCAGAAGGGGGAGGGAGGGCCAAAAGGAGGAAGAGAAAAGAGACCGCGAGCAACACGAAGAAGGACAAAGGACGCGACAAAAAAAAGGGAGGGGAAACGAAAACGGAACAGGGCGAGCACAAGAAGGGCAAAACCGGACGGAAACCCGAAGAGGCGGGCGAAGGGAGAGCCGGACAAGGGAAAGAAGAGAGGGGCAGGGCGAAAAGCAAGGAAAAAAAGCGAGGGAAGGAGCGGAAAAAGCAGAGACAAATAGGCAGGCAAGGACAAAGGGCAGGGCGCAGGGACGGAAGGAAAGGGCACGGGGCGAAGGGAGCAGAGAATGGAGGGGGCCCCGACAAACGAGGCGAGCGAAAAGGGAGGAGGGGGCGGAGCCAGGGCGAACGAGCGAGGGGGGAGGAGGCAGAAAAAGGGGGAGAGGGCGGGACGAGGCCGAAGAAACCGGGAGGACGGAGGGGGCCCGGCGAGACCAGGAAGGGAACAAAAGCAGAGAACCGCGGGCAGGCGGGGCGGGCAAGCAAAGGGAGCAAGGCGAAGGGCGAAGACGGAAGGCGAGAGGGGGGAAGAAAAAGGCGAGGGACCAGGGGAGTAGCAGGGCGAGGCGGAGGGGGGACGCGGGGAGGGGGGAGGGGGAGGAGGAAACCAAACCCAGTAGGAGGAAACGAATAACGAGAGAAGAACGAAGAACCAACGCAGCAACGGCGCAGGAGCGGGAGCGAAGAACAGGCACGAGAGGAGAGAGAGGAGAGGCAGAGCGCGGGGAGCAACGGCGAGGGGGGGGCAGAAACAAAAAAGAGGCGAAGGGGCAAAGCAAAAGAGAAGAGAAAAAGAGGGGGAAAAGGGAAGGAGGAGAGAAAGAGAGAAAAAGAAGCGCAAGGAGTGAAAAGGCCAAGAGGGAAGGGCGAGCAGAAAAGGCAGGGGAATAAAGCCAGGAAGACGGAGGAGCCAGACCCGAAGAAGGAAAGGAAGCAAGGAAGAGAAGAAGACAAGAAAAAAGCAAGAGCGGCGAGCCAAGAAAGACGGAGAAGAAGGGCGCAAGACGGGAGGGGAGGAGGCGACGAGCGCCAGGGGCAAAGGCGGACCGAACCAGGAAGGAAGAAGCGGAGGGGAACGACGGAACCGGCGGAAGGAAAAAGAGGCCAGGGAAAAAAAGAGGAAAGAGGCACGGCGGCGGGAGGGCGGAAGGAGCCGGAGAGCGAGGGAGCGAGGCGGAGAGCGGAGACGGCACGAGCGAGCCCGACAAACGGAAAGAGAAAGGGAAAGAGGAAGAGTGCGCCGCGAAAAACGGCGGGGGGAGGGCAAAAGCAAGAGGAGAAAGACAGAAGAAGGAGGAGGGACAGAAGAAGAATACAAGAGGAGGAAAACGAAGAGGAAAGGAAGGAGCGAGGCAAACAAGAGAGAGAAAGGACGAACGAGGCGGCGGAGGCCGCAAATAAGACAGAGAGAGCGGAACGGCAGGGGGGAAGAGGAGAGCGGAAGGAACGGAAAGGAACGGCAGGAGGAAAAAGCCAAAGGGGAAAGCCGGGAGGCGGGAGGCGCGCGGAGCGGAGGAGAAGAAACGCGCACGGCCGGGGCGGGAGGAGAGAGGGAAGGAGAAACAACCAGCAACGAGAACCCCAAAAGAACCAGAGGCCGGAAACAACAGAGAGGATAGAAGGAAGGGGAGAGCGGCGGGAGGAAGCAGAGGGGGGCGGGCAAGAGCGCGGCAAGCACGGGAACGGCGGGGAGCACAGCGAGACAAAGAGAAAGCAGGGCGACGAGCAAGGCACACGAAAGGCACGGCGGGGGAAAGAGAGGGGACGCAGAGGGCCAGAGAAACAGGGGACTGGACGACCGCGGAAACACGGAGGGGGGCGGGAAAAGGGAGCCCCGGGAAGAGGGGGGAGCGGGGGAACCCGGGCGAAGTACGGGAGGAAGGGGGGGAGGAACAAAAAAGAGGGCCAGAAGAGCGAGGGCAAGAGCAGCATGCCAAAAGGCCGAGACGAACGCAAGGCAGGAGGGCGGAGAGAGAAGAAAAAGCGAAAACCACCCGAAAGGAAGCGGAGGAAGGAAACAAAAACACAGGGGGGGTGTGCGGGGGGGGGACAAAAAGAGGGCGGGGGCGGCGCCCGGGGCAGGGGAAAAACAGAGGAAAAAAAAGGAGAGGAGGCAACCGCAGACCCAGGGAAAGGGAGCGGAAGAAACAGCGGGGCCGCGAGAAGGAGGGGGAGGCGAAGCAGAGCGAGCGAAGGCAAGCGCAGTAGGGCATGAGTGGCGGACAGGAGAACAAACAGAGGGCGGGAGCAAGAAGCAGGACCGAAGAGGCCGCGAGGAAAGAGCGAAGGAGGCAGAGCGGGAAGGGGGCGGACCGGGAAAGAACGCAAACGGGACAACGGAAGGAGAAGACGAGAGGAGGACAGGCCGCAGGGGGGGAGAAAGAAGGAAAGCCAAAAGGAACCGAGAAGGGGGGGCAAGCGCCGAGAGGGGAGGACAAGGCAAGGGACGAAAAGAGGGGCAGTGAGCCGCCGAAGGAGGAGAAAAGGAAAGCGGGAGAGGGGGCGAGGGAGGAGGGGAAAGAAAGGGCGGAGAAAAGGTAAAGCGGGAGAGGTGGTCGAGGGGAGGAGAGGAAAGAAAGAGAGGAAAAGGGAGGAGAAGGGGGCGCACGCAGAGAGCGGGGGAAAAAGAAGGCAGAGACAATAAGGAAAAAAACACGGGAGAGGAGCCACAGGGGGCCGCAAGAGGAGGAGAGGGCAGCAGGCGGGAGCGGAAGAGGGCGGAGAGAAGCACGGCGAGACGGAAAGGAGGAGAGGGACGAAAAAGAGGGGGGCGTAAGAGCAGCCACCACAGAGACGAAAGAGGGAGAAGACGGGGAGGAAGGGAGGGAACGGGAGAAACCATGCGAGAAAAACAAAAGGGGGGGGAACCCGGCGACAGAGAAGGAAAGAGGAAAAAGACCCGAGAGAAAGAGGGGCAAGGGAAAACGGAGCAGGCGACCCGGGGGACGAAGCGAGGCGAACGAGCAACGAAGCCCGAAAAGGGGGGGGGAGGGGAGGGGAGCGGGCGACGGCGCGAGGTAGAAGACGCGAGAGCCGCGACTGAGAAGGAAGCGGGGGGAGAAAGGGCGGGGGAGAGAGGGGTAAGAGGGGGAGAGGAGGAGATGGAAGAGAAAAAGGGGAGCCAATACGACGGAGGGTGGGAAAGGGCGAAGGAAAAAAAGGGGAGGAGGGAAGAGCGGGCCGACCGCAGTGAGGGGAGACGGCAAGAGCACGTGAAGACACGGGAGGAAAGCAAAAAAGGAAGGCCGCAAGGGGCGGCGCAGGAATGAAGCGCGGCCAGAGAGGTGCCGCGGGGGAGGGAGAGAGGAAGAGCGGAGGCGAAGGCCGGGGGCGAAAGAAGAAGCAGCGGAGGGGTAGAGTGAGGGCCGCAAAAAGTCAAGGGGAAGGAAGGCCAGGAGGGAGTGACCAGAGGGGAGAAGGTAGTCAACTGCGCAAGGCCAAAAAGAGGCGTATAGGAGGGGGGGACAACGGGAACAAAACAGGGCGGGCCACAAGAAAGACACAGTCGAGAGGCCAAATAGAGCCAGAACTACGGGGGGAAAAAGGAGAGGGCAAAGGAGCGGAAGGAAGGTGGAAAGAGGAAAGATAAGAGCGGCTGGGCGGAAAAGGGTGTGAAAAAGGGCGACGTAAGCCGTGAGATAGGCAGGAGGTAGTAGGGGGGCCAACCCGCGACAGAAACAACGACAAGGGAGAAGCAGAGGCAACGGAACCAGGGAAAAAAGAGAAGCGAGAAGGGACGCCGGAGCCAGAGAGCGACGACGCAGGGGACGAAATGGGAAAAAGAGGGCAAAGCGAGACGAGCCAAGAAGGGCGCGGAGGAAGGACGGAGGGGTGGCACGGAAGAGGGCCACAGGAGAAGACCAAAGGGAGGGAGGCAGGGTGCAGCGAGGGGCAAGAATACCAGGGCACGGGAGACAAGAGGGCGGGCCGGGGAGTGGCGGGCGGTGCCGCCGCGGGACGTGCGGGAGGCAAGGCGAACGAGAGGGGGGGAAGGTGACACCGGGGGCGGCGGAAACCGCGCAGCAAAGGCGAGCCGGACAAGGAGGGGAGCGGGGGAGGCGACGAGCAGAAAAGGCAGTAGAAATGGGGCCGGCGCGGAAGCAGACGCAGCAGGACGAGCGAGGCGCAAAGGGGAGACTAGAACGGGCGGTACGCCCGGAGGCGAACCCCGAGGGCCACACAAGGGCGGGAGAACCGGCGAAAAATAGACGGGTGGGAGAAAGGACAGGGAAAAGCGCAGAGGAAAGAGAAGAAAAGCTAAGAAGGCCCCAAAGCGAAGCTAGAAGAAGAGGGCCGAGGAGGCGAGAGAAGGGCACAGGAGCGAACGCGGACACGACAGGAAAGGGGGGAGAAGCAAGAACAGACAGGAAACGCTGGAGGTAGGGCGCGTTAGTTGCGGGCGCCACGGAGAAAGGGGCAAGCCGACACAAGTAGGCAGGGCGATGCACGAAGAGCGGGGCGGGCGCGGAAAGAGAAGGAACAGGGAGCACACGGGGAAAGTCGGAGAAAGCCCCGCCAGGAAGAGGCTGACCAGAGCGGAGCAAGAAGCGGGACAGGAGAGGTTGAAGGAAGGGAAAGAAAGGGGAGGGAGAGGAAGCGAGAGGGAATCGGGGACGCCGCGAGGTGGGGCAAAGGGCCGGGAGGGAACGGCGGAAGCAGAGCGCTTGACCTCGGCGGGGGAAAGCGGGAGTAAACACCACATACAGAGGCGGGGGTGGACGGAACCAAGGGAGGGGGGGATAGGGGAGGACAAAGCGAGAGAAAGCGCGGAGAGATGCGAAATAAAAAAAAAAAAAAAATAAAGCGCACCAGAACGTGGGAAGAGGTGAAGGGGCCGTAGAGAGCGGCTAGGCAGTGCGGGGCGAAAGGCGAAGCAGAGGAGGCAGGCGGAGGGGAAGGGGTAAGGAAATAACAAGAGAGACGGGTGCGAGAAAAGAGGGACAAACCGGAAGGGGGAACCCGAAAGAAGCACGGCGGAAGCCGCCCGCAAGGTGAGGGCATGGAGGGAGGCCGTGGGGACAGTAGGGAAAGGAAGAAACGGACAGTGGAGAGGAGGGGGAACACACGCGGCGTTAGCCCCCCGGACCGGCAGGAGAAAGGGGCGAACGCAGAAAAAACAAAAAAAACGAGCAGGCAAAGCAGGGGAGGGGACCAAGTTAGAAGGTCCTCCAGAGCGAGAAGGGCCGCAAAAGTCCAAGAGCGCGACAGGAGGGCGACCGGTGGAAGAAAGGCAAGAAGAGCGGAGGGAAAAGAGAGCTAGTGGCACAGAGAAGAGGGTAAACAGAGAGAGGCAGGCGAGAAAAACAGGTGCGCCAAGGGAGGGACCAAAATATCAAGGGGAAGGCGCGTGGGCAGGGGGGGAAGAAAGGCAAAGAAACGAGAAAGAGGGGGCGCGTAAGACAGAGACAGAGATGAAGAGGGCGAATCGCTAAGGCAGGAAGTGAAGGAACGAGAGGGAGCAGGGAGTAAGGCACTGGGAGAGACGAGGCCCGATGAGACAACAAGGGCACAAGGCAAGCAAGGGGAAAAAGACCGAAAGTGGAGAGAGGAGCACAGAGGGACAGGGTGCCACCATAGGCCCAAACCCAAATGGGCAACGGCGGGACCAAGCAAAAAGACAGGCGGCGCCGACGGGCGACGAAAGTGGCAGGGGGAGTGGAGGAACAGTTCGCGAAAAAAGCGGACGGGGAATGAAGCCCGCCAGGGACGGAAACCAGGAAAGAACGCCAACAGGTGGGGTAGGCACGGCGACGAAGGAGTGGGAAAAGACAGAAAAAAGACCAGGCAGGGAAGAGGCGAACGGGGGGGCAAAGGGAGCGGCCGGGGCACAAGGCATGAACGGAGGGGGCGAGAACCGCCGAAGCCGACAAGGACAGGGCCAAGAGGACGAGAATGACGACGGGAAAAAGAGAGAATAAGAGCGGGGGGCCAGGCTGGGCGCGCCGCGAAGAAGTGAGGACCCAGACCGTGAGCCAATGGAGCGCGGAAGACGAGCAGTGTGAAGGCAGGGGGGGGGAGGGAGGGGGAGAGGTGAAGGCGGAGAGAGCCATGCCCCCGGGGGAACCGGACAGGAGAAGGGGGCAGCAGCCAGCGCGAGCAGAAGCAAAAGGAACAAAGGAAGCAAGAGAAAGATGAGAGGTGAGCGAGATCCACAGATAGAGGAGAGAGGAAGGGGGCAGGGAAGAAATAAGGGGAAGAAGGCGGGGGGACGGAAGGACCCTGAGCAGGACAAAGAAGGAAGGGCGGACAAGGCAAGGACGCAAGACCCACGGAGGCCGGACAAGCAGGAGAAGAGCAAGGCGGTGGGGCGGCGGCGCAGACCGGACAAGGGGGAGGTAGCCAAAACGAGGGGAAGAGACCCAGACAAGGGGGTACGTGGGACGAAGAAAGGCGAGCCGCCGGGCGGGTCGGGAGAGCCCGGGGCACGCGAGAGCGGAGCGAGAGCGGGGGCAGGCAGAAGGAAAGTATATCAGCGCGCGGGGGCCGCGCCGCCGTGGGGGGGGGGAGAGAGAGGCAGGAGGGCCGCGGCGGGAACACGAGCGCCGAGAAGACGTAGCGGACGGGAAACCAAGGGAGCGAAAGAATGAAGGAGTGCGAGACGGGAGGGAGGAACAAGGGAAACCGGGGAGGGGGAGCGGGCAAAGATGTGGGGGAGAAAGTCAAAGGGGCAAGGGCTGAGACGACCAAAAGCACTGGAGGGAGCAGGAGGGGAAGCTACGGTGGGGCGGGAGGAGGGACTGGAAGAACGGAAGGCGGGGGAAGGGATGAGGCGGCACCGGCGGAAAAGGAAGGCCGGGCCAAGGGGCGGACACGGGAACCAGGCCGAGAGCAGAGAGAGGGGAGAGAAGAGAACAGAGCGCTGGTGAGAGGGAGGCAGGGGGGTGCGGGGAGGCGGGCGACGAGCGGGAGGTAGGAAAAAGGAGCAGGGTCGCCCCCGGGGGAGGGATGCGAGTCAAGAAGGCACCGAGCTCATAGAACAAAAAAACCTGACGTGAAAGGAGCCGAGAAGGAGCCGAAGGGGCGAAAAGGGAGGGGGCAGAAGGATGACGGGAGCCGCAGGGCCCAACGAGGGGAGATAGGGGGCAGGAGGAAATGCTACGGGACGAGGGGCAGGGAAGGGAGGCGGAGCGCGGGCGAGAACCAGCAAGGAGGGCGGGAACCGCCAGAGAGCCAGGGGCAACCCCCGGGAGAAAGAGGACCGGAAGGGGATGGGGGGCCGGGAGGGCAAATTACGGCGGACAGGGCCGAACAATACGGGGGGGCCGGCGGGGAGGGGGGCCAGGACCGGCGGAGTGAGGAAACAGGACCGGGGGGAGAGGAAGGGTAAGAAAGCCATAGCCAGTGGCGGCGGCAGGAGCGACGACGGGCGGGGGGATGGGGACCGCCGGAGTGCCCGAGGGGGGGGGCCAGGGGGCGGAACAGGACCGAGGGAGTCAAGCGCGAACGTGGAGGCGCGGGGGTAAAAGGGAGGGAAGGGGGAAATGGGGGGAGCGAGGGAAAGAGGCGCGGCAAAGGGAAGGCGCCCCGAGATGACAGCGAGGAAGGAAGGCGGAAGGGAGGGCGAAGAGGCGTAGAGGGAGAGGGAGGAGCGAAAAAAAAGGGGGAGGGGCGGTGGAAGGGCAGTAACAAAAAGGAAAACGAAGACGGAAAAGGGAGGGGGGGGAAGCAAGGGCGAAAGGGGGGCGAGAAGGCCCAAGAGCGGGGACCAGGGTCTAGGCGGAAAGCGCGAGGGGCAGAAGAGCGGTCGGGGACGGGGAGGCAAAAGGGCCAAGAAGGGAGAGAGAGGGGGATCGGGGGGAGGCAAGAGAGAGTCGGGGCGAGGTAAGGCGAAGGGGGCAAGGAAAAAGGCAGGGCAAGGCGAGGGGGGGGGGGGCGGAGGGAGCCACGGAGCAGAAAGGCGCGAAGGGGGGGAGATAGTAAGCGGGGGGGCACTCAGCGCGAAATGGATAGGGGCGGCGCCATTAGGGAAAAAGGAAGAGAATAGCAAGCAAAGGGCGGGAGGCTGTCAGGAAGGGCGTGCGGGCGGGTCTCTGGGAAACGGCTGGGTGGGCCAGAGGTCGAGAAAAAAAGGAGCGCGGGGGGGGCATGCCCAGGCCCAGAAGAAGGCAAGACGAGGAGCGCAGGGCGAAAACCGGCAGGGAAGACCAGCATGCTGAGAGGAGAACGTCCAGCGGCAAAGGGAGGGGGCGGGGGTGAGAATAGAGCGCGATTGGCGGCGAGGGGGAAAGCAGACAAAAAGCAAGGGGGCCGGCAACCTAAGCGAGAGGGGGGGGTAGCAACGAGGGCCACAGAAGGGGGTAAGAGGAGATGCTGCAGCAGGGGACACAGCCAGCGACCGGTACACAAAGAGACTGCCGGCACAAAAGGCCAGAGAGGAGGACGGCGCAGACAAGGGCGGGCAAAGGCTAGGAAAAGCGCAGGGACCGAGGCGGGAAGACCCGCGAGGGGAGAAGAGGCAGTGCGGCGGCGGCGCATGAGGGGAACACGTGGGGATGACAGGGGCCGGCGAGGGGCCCAAGCAAAGCTGCGGCGCAGCGCAAGGCCGAGGGGGACGGCGGGACCGGGCAGAAGGGGAGACAGAAGAAAGCGGCCAGAGAGAAAGGTCCGGGGACGGGTCGGGGCGTGGAGGCAACACAGGCCACCGGGAGGGGCCGCAGGAGAGACGGGGACGGGCGCGCGAAGCAGAGCAAGAGGAGGAGGATGAGGGGGCGAATGGCGGAGGTGAGGGTCGCGTCGCGGGGAGAGGGGGGCAAGGGGCAGGGCGACACACGGCGGGGGGGCGGAGGGCGACAGCCAGGGGTGGCAGAGGGGGGACAGCCCGCCCGACGAAAAAGGGAAGAGGAGACCACGGGGAAGAATGAGCGCGGAAAAGTGCCTGGCGGCGCGGCGAGACCGGGACCCGGTAGCATGGACAGGCGGAGCGCGGAGCAGACCCCGAGCAACGACGGGACGATAGCAGGGAGGCCTGCGGGGTCAGAGCAACAAGGGGCCGCGGCGCGGTGCCCGGGAATGCCAGATAGGACCGGCGGAGGACCAAGAAACGACCCGACCCCCGTGACAGCGTAAACAGGGACAATGGGAGGAGGGAAACGAGCGGGAACAGGAAGAACGCCCGGGGGGGAGGCTACGGGCACGCGGACGGGAACCAAGACGGCCAGGGCCGGACTGCGAACGCGGCGCGGAGAGCGGGGGGCCAGAGTGGGACAGGGCGGAAAGATGGAGGGAGCGAGTAGAGGGAGAAGAGCCATGGTCACGAGGCGGGAGTGGACAGGGGTCAGGGGCAAGGCGGAGGAGCCGGGCGTGGGGGAGGGCGCGGTGGGAACAGGACGAGAATAGGCGGCCCGCGGCGACGGAGGAGGCGACAGGGGGCACAAAGGGGGACGAACAGAAGCGCGGAGGGTCAGAGGGCCAGGCCGGACCGGCAGGGGATAAGCGACGGGGGCAAAAAATGGGCGGGCGAGGGGGCGGGCAGCGCGAAGTGGGAGGGCGGGGGAAAGACAGGGGGAAAGGGGAAAACGAATCCGGCGAAGCGGGGGGGCGGGCGAAGGGGAGAAAGGAGACGCTGCGCGGGGGGAAGCAGAAGACCGGACGGCAAAGGGGACGGGGGGGCGGGCGCCAGATAAACTACGGCGAGCGGGGCCGAAAACAGAAAACGGAGAAGCAGAGCTGGCTGCTAGAAAGAAACCCGCGAACAGTACGAGGGGGAAGCGAGGCATGAAGGAAACCCGGAGGTAAGGCAGGGGGGGGCGGGCAGCCCTAGGACGGGAAGGGAGCGGGAAAGGAGGCAACGAAGGGTAGGAGGCGAGAACGATGAGCAAGTAACGCCCCCATGGGGGCCTGGCTCCAAAGGGGACAAAGAAGAAGCGTGGTAGCCAAGGGGGAGAGGCAAGGCAATAAGAGCCAAAAAGAGGACCAGAGAGAACACAAAGGGCGCCCCCGGGCGGCGAGGTCGAGCGCGCGGGCGGGAGGAGACCGCGCGAAGGAGAAAGGAAGGACAAAACGCCCAGCCCCACCGAAAAGGGGAGGGAGGCGGGAGAGGGAGAAGAGAGGCGGAACCGGGGGCGGACGGAGCCGGGTGGAAAATGGAAAAGAGGGCAGAGGCGGCGGGGCCGAGCCGGCGAGGGCGCGGGGAAAACAAAAAAAGGGGGGGGGCGCGAGGCGGGCGCACGGGGGAAGAAAAACCGGCGCGGAAAAGGAGGCGTGACAAGAGATGGGCGGGAAGAGGGGGGGAGGCGAGGCGATACCACGCTGGGGGCGAGCCAGGCAGCATGCGCGGAGTAGAAGGGGAGGAGCGCAGCAAGAGGGCCGCGACCCAGGAGGAACGAGAAGGAGGGCGGCCAAAAAAAAGGGGAGACGATCATAGGGTGGGACGTGAGCGGGGCGAGGAAGGCGACGGGGTCAAGAAGAGAGAGGCGGGGAGACACAGGACGTGACGCAAGTGGGAAGCGAGGGCGGGCAAAGACGCCACGAGAAACAGAGCACGAGGGCCGGGAGAAGAACCGGCGGGCAAAGACCGCCACGAGAAAACAGAGCACGAGGGCCCGGGGAGAAGACGGCGGGAGCGAAGGAAAACGAGGATGAAAATGGGAAGGGGCGGCAACGCTCGGGGCGAGGGGCCACAAAAGGCGAGGGCCGGGGGGAGGGCCGGCTTGAGCAAGAAAACGGCGCATGCGGGGAGCAGAGCGGAGGAGCAGGCCGGTGCACGGGGGAGGGCGGTGAACAGGGACGCACAAGGACGCGCGGACGACTGCGGAGCTGGCGAGAGGCAGAGGAGGGACGGCGGCGGGGAGACAGCAACAAGAAGGGCTACCAAGAGGAGCAGAGCGACGAGTGCGAGCGCGAGAGGCGAAAAGACACAGCAGGCGGCGAGCCCCGCGGGGAGCCGCGACAGGAAAGGGGCGGAGGGGGAGCAGAGCCATGGGGGGACGCGGTGGGACAGGCAAAGGGCGTAAGAAAAAAAGAAAGGGGGGTCCACAAACAGAAATAGATACGGGGGGGGGCAGCCGAAGAGGCCGGGGGGGGGGGAGAGGGGTCGGCGTATCGCCGAAACGAACGGAATGGGGGGCTGAGAGGCAGGGGGAGGCGGGGGGCTGAGGGGGAAGACGCGGCGGCAAAGCGTGGGGGGTACTCCACCCAGGTGCAGATAAGGAGGCGACCGTGCCTGGGGCACAACAGCCACCCAATAGCAGGGGAGCCTGGTGCCCGAACCAACGTGGCCTGCGGTGCGGACAGTGAACTGGGCTGAGCGGGAAAGATTGCGGACCCATGATCTCGGCCCCACGACGGCATTGCGTGTGCAGATGCGCGACCTGCGTGCGTGCTGCAGAGGGAGCCATGCAGGGCAAGTAGCGCGGGAAGAGCATAGGGACCGAAACAAAAGGATGACCCAGAAGCATGAGCCCTGCAGCTGCGGCCGAGTGTGGTACGGAAGCGTGGTGCTGGGGGATGAGTTGATGGGGGTGCGAAGCCATCCGCTGACTACAGAACGGACGTGGAGAGTGGCGGTGCTCAGCAGCGCTCGCGCGAAGCACGAAGAAAGGAGAGGCAAAATTGGATGGGATATGAAGCGAAGTGTCGGGCAAGTGAATAAGAGAATAGTGCAAAAAAAGGAAGGTAAGAGATGATGATGTGAGGGGAGAGGAAGACGAAGAAGCGGTAGGCATGAGAGAGCGTGGTGGAAGAGAGATAGGCATAAACATTGGGATGGAGGGGTGACGAAGAGGGGAGGTATGAGGATGGACGAAGCCGAGGCTGGCTTGGGGAGCCGAGGCGGGGGCAAGAAAAAAAAGAAAGGGGGCGCGGGCCGAATGAGTGACGCGTTCAAGGGGAGGGCAGGGGGGAGGGGATGCGCGGACGGCGCAGAGCTGCAGATAGGAGATAAATGAGTGCCGGCGCATTGGCCCCAGCCCGACC